ATGTATCTCGCTGCATTGCGCGAGTACGCTTCTAGTATATATATATATATATATATATATATATATATATATATATATATATATATATAATATCACATATAATGTCCATTGTTTTTTCACTATTTTATTTTTATTTTTTTGATCAACGTTTTAAATTATATACGATTAGTTATATATCACATATGATTCATTCTATGAATTTTTGTATATATCATATGTGATAAAATAATGATAAACATATGATTTCTATATATACATAAACACAAGGTTGAGTTTCGTTAAGAAAGAAAGTTATGATGAGAAACGTAAAAAGAGAATTTCATCCTTCAATCAATCCTAATTGAATGTCAACACTAATGAGATAGACTGGATCAAATATGTTCTAAAGCGTAATTTATAGGTGAACATGAGGTTAAAAATGATCAAGAATTCAAATATCTTCTTATACTTCTTACCATAACTTATGTTTTCACAATATCCTTCACCCACACATGTATATAACGCGTTAGAACAAAAATTAATCATTTACACATCTCTTAAGGATCAATTTAAAATAGAAAATTTTAAAAAAAATTAAAATTAAATTTTGGTGTGATGTCTTTTTTATTTTGAATATTACAATATTAATTAATTTTAAAAATATTTCTATAATTTAATAAATACTGATGAAAATATGATAAAAATGTATTTCTTTTATAATGTTAATTATTGAAAGTTCTTCAAATTTGAAAAATGTTATTTTTTTTTTTTTTTTTCTCAAGTTTGAAGAAAGTCTTACGAGCTGTCTGTTTTTTTCAAAATTACTTGTTAATATCTCTGAAGTCTGATTCGTTCAGACATTGACGTATTAAGAGCGTTTATTTTATTTCTAAAATAAGAGCTTAAAAGCTCTAAATTTCCTCTGAAATTTTAAGTAGTAAACATATCCCTTAATACATCTTAATCCTAATCCGCTCTCTATCAAATGGTTCATATTTTAGGGGTTAGAAGAGATTTGTTAGCAAAAACTATTTATTTTTTATACTTCTGTAAAAAAAACTATTTATCTTTTATATTTTTGCACTAGTTTGACCGATTCAGATTTCACACTTCAGACATAAAAACAAACAATCTTACAGATCAAGATTTCAGACTTCATGACTATCTTTTATAAATCAGAAGTGAAATCAGACTTCAACACCCCTTAAAAAACAAAAATCACCTTAAAAATTTTATTAGAACAAAAAAGAATTGTCAAAATCCCAAATACCTAATTAAATAATCGGTTAAAAATGCTCTAAAATTATTAATAACATGTTAGCATTCTTAATTGTTTATGGTAGATAAATTGATTGAAATTAATGATCCAAAAAGATCTACACATTGATTACAAGGTTTTTAATTTTATGTACGGTTTTGTATTTTTTTTTTAATAATTGCAAAATTTGGAAGGTGATGACCACATGCATCATAAATTAATACAACGATGTAAGTATGATGATTTACTTCTTAATGGTTCTATTAAAAGGTAACTTCTAAATTGTTAAGAGATAAATCATGTTTGGCAAAAAAAATATGTCTTTTAATGGTCCTAAAACCCTCTGAATGATTTTGTATCATGGGTCTCCTTTAACCATTCATCGCAATAATTTCGTTGTAAATAATTAGCAAATAATTATATTTCATTTTGCATTATATCATGAGAGCTTTTTAATCATTTTGTATCAAAACCATTCATCAACTGTCAAATATAAACCAATCTATTTATATATTGTATAAATTGTCGATTTCATTGTTTAAATTTATTAAATTGTTTAATGAAATTGTTTTATGAAATTTTTTAATATAATGAAATTGTTGCATGTATTCTTGTTTCTATGGAAAAAAAATGAATTTCTTACATATATTTCTCATTTTGATGAAATTGTTTCTAATATTAATATAATGAAGATGAGAACGTCCATAATTACTGTATTTCACAATAAAAATGACCAATCAACTCTCATAATTAAAAATAAAAATAAAAAATATGATTGACTAAATGATATGTGTACGGTTTGTACAAATAGTTTGGTTTGCATTTGATCTCTCCCATATATATATATATATATATATATATATATATATATATAGAGAGAGAGAGAGAGAGAGAGAAAGAGAGGGTTGGNCATATATATATATATATATATATATATATATATATATATAGAGAGAGAGAGAGAGAGAGAGAAAGAGAGGGTTGGGTTCACGTGATACCAATGGTTTTTCGTGAAACCCGTAAGACCAATTTATGCTCATTGATTATCTTTATAAGTTAATGATCTAATGGTCTAAAGTTGCACGGTGACAATTTTTTGATTATTTAGAAGTCTCGTGGCAATCTCGTAATTATGAATGTTGAGATTGTAGATCTAATCCAAAGGTTGAGAATTGGTCTTACGGGTCTCACGAAAAATTCTTGATCTCACATGATCCCAAGTCTATATATATATATATATAGACACACACACACACACATACATTCTAATTGTGTGTCAGATTAGTTTGTCCACACCTCGACTAATTTTATTAGACCCTGAAAATAACAGCAAAAAAAATCCTAGTGACCTTGAAAAAACTAGAACTAGTGACCTATAAAAAGGAGCTCCAAACCTAGCCTTTAATATTTTTATGTTTGTATATGAAGGTAAATGCCAATTAAATTACAGTTTAGAAAGGAGTGTTATATTTTGATTTGCCTTGTTATCGACCTTTATGAGTGGTCAGAGGAGGATACGTCCATTTAGAATACGTAGCAGATAAGTCTCGATTTTACATTTATGACCTTTCGTATTTATAGATTATTTAAATCGTCGACCTAGTTGTTCCTCATACTGACTTAAGGTTGCTTGTCTGTGATGTAAGCATCTCGATGTTGCCGGCGAGAAGTATTGTCTGTGGTCCTTGATTCCACAATTGTAACATGGTTGTATGTCTTGTACTTGAAAATGGGTCGTTGTTAATAGGTATCATCAAATAATTCGTACAAACAAATAACAATTTAATTTTATTTACAAATACCGGCTTTAAAGCATACATAAGGGTGGTGTCTGATTGGTTTTGAGCTTGGCTTCAAAGGTCAAAAGTATCAGGAGGTCCCAGATTCAAATCCAAGGAGTAATAAAAATCCCCTTGTGGCTACGGAGGTTCAAATACGGTGACTCCGAGCTATCTGCAAAGCATGTGGTCGTCATGAGATTAGTCGACTCGCATAGCCGGTTGGATATTCAGGTTAATAAAAAGAAATGACCAAAAATCTTGTTATTATCATCTAGTTTTTTTTCATATAAGAAAATACAATATAATTTATGGGTTTAATTTTTTTTTCATACACTGACAATATAAAATATACGGTATGTACATGTGTATACAAATAATTGAATATGTTTTCTGGTTTATGTTCATGTTATGTATATGTGTGTACTGAATAAATTATTTGTATATATATATACATAAATAAATGGTTACTAAGATATTTCTCAGTTTTTTGTTACGATTTTCCCTGAATAAAATTTATTAATTTCAAAGAAAATACAACGCAATATATTTACATCATTGTCTTGTAACATGAGATGCAAAATTTGTTTTATCTAATTGCAATAAAGAAATAGATAAAACAAAGGTAAATAAAAAATTACTGCTCCAAATTACCAGCGGTTAGATAAGAAATTACAGAAATGCCCCTCTAAATCCAAAGTTGTTCACCAATAATCTCCATCTGGGTCCTCGGGTTCGGGTTTTTTATTCAAGTCGGGTTTTTCTTGAAACCAACAAGGCTTCAATTCAGAAGTGGATGCATGATGATGATGGTGGTGGTCATGGGTACTGCTCGTACTTAACGACGTCGTACAGCTCGTCTCTGCATCCACTCTCGCCCCAACCTCAATCGCTTTTTTCCGAATCGAGGCGGCGGAGAGCTCGTCGGGACCACCGTCGGACGCCAATAATTCCGGGAAATTGAGCCGGGCGGAGGGACCACGGAGGTAGTACACGGCGGTATCGTACGCTCTCGCGGCGGCGACGGGAGTCGAGTACGAGCCGAGCCAAATCCTGGACCGTTTATTCGGCTCTCGAATCTCAGCCACCCACTTCCCCCACTTCCTCATACGTATCCCTTTATAAGGCCTCTGATCATTTTTCCTCTTTCCCGTCGACGAACAATTACACAGCGCCTCTAATTCCCCACCACCACCACCACCGCCGCCGCCGCCGCCGCCTCTTCTCCCCTCCATGGATCTATTTATTGTGAAATCCGCCACAAAAAAAGAACTAAAATCCGAGGAGGGATGTCATCTGGAGAAAAGTTCCGACGTTGATTTCTACGAAACAGAAATCGGCAAAACCTGCGCAGAAAAAGATAATTCCAAAGGCACCGACACCTTTATTTTTGCTTCAATTTTGTGTTTCTCTCTCTATATATACAGAGGTTGGCGTGTGTGAGTGTGAGTGTGTGTATGTATAGGTGTAGGTATAGATATAGGCAATTGAAAAGGGTTTAATTGGCCGTCATAAATCAGAGGTAGGGGAGATGCTTTTATGAAGCTGAGGATTATCGTTTCATTTCGAGTCTTTAGATCGATAGACTGAAAATAAGATATTAAAGGCGGCAAAAAAATAATAATAAGTGAATAAAATTAGTTAATTTACTTCTTTTCTTTAATAAATGTGGGTTGATAATTAATGTCGGTTGTATTAAGAACTATTTGGCAGTTGTTGAATGATTTGGTGTAAAATGATTAAGTAGTCAGAATGTCATGATATAGTGAAAAATGAAATATAATTATTTGATAATTGTTTACAATGAAATTAAGACGCTTATTGGTTAAGGGAGGTCCATGATACAAAACAATTCAGAGAATTTTAGAACCATTAAAAGACAGATTTTTTTTTTTCTCCATCAAACAAGATTCAACTCTTAAACTTATATTGTAATGATTTAATTAATGATAAAAGGATGATTTGTTAAATTTGTAAAAGAGTGACAACTAATACATGTATTATATTTAATATGATCATTTCTCTCCTAATTTAAAAACCTTAAATTGCATCCCTTCTTTTTCTCAAATCTCAAATACTGAGACATAAACTCTAAAAATCCACCATACCTCAGTCTCAAATCCAGGTGAGCACACCAACAGATCCAGCAACCACACACAACGGCGGCCACGCCCCCTATGAATCAAGATCTCATGAATGGCTTTTCTAGTTGTTTTAGGAAGCTAGACGTATATGTGAGAATGTTGTTGGTGATGCGAATGTGGAGGTAAAGGTGAACGGTTAACAGGGAGGCCAATGCAGTAAGAGTGGTGGCAGTTAAGGCAATCTAGACCCCTGTGCATCACAAACATGATCCAACGTTGCTCACCATGCGAAGAGTTTTTTGGGAAGTATTGTATAACGATGGGTTGGGAGTGTGACCTGCTTGGAACCATAGTCGGTGAAGAGGCCAGTTGAGGAGCAAATAGGGGTGCATCTTATTTCTTCTATGACTGTTCACTTTTGTGTAAGCCTTTATATTTTGGTATGTTTTGTGTATACCATGGTGCTCACTATGTGGCTTGACAATATATTTAAAGGTTTGGATAATTGGTTCACGAAAGATTCACAATAGAGATGCACAAGATCAATCCCTATATCAAGCACGATTCATGAGTGAGTTTGAGATTAAAGATGATGAAGAGTCCATATCTCTTCTTATACTTCTCACACCATATTTTGGCTTGATTGTGTTTATAAATTACTTATATAAATTTGCATCATTAATATGTAATCTTGAATTTAATTAATGTGCTTTAATTAACGATATTTAATGCATAAACTATCGTTTTTAAGATTTCACACCAAATATTTTATAATACAATATAGATTACGAATAGTTAATATAATAAACGTAATGTTTTATTTTTATGGATAAAGTTATGTATGAGGAGGTTTGTGTAAAAGGATCTGTAAATAACGGTCTTCCAAAGTCACGTCACACCGGGTGCATTAGTAATAGTTGATGTACTTTTTGTGTGAAAGTCAAATCAGTTACACACGATCCTAACGGATGGCTAACATCGAGTGTTGTAACTCATAATGTTATCTTTAAGACTATGTTTAACGGTGATAACAAGGTTAGGATTGTGAATAGGACAAAATGGGGTTTAAAAAAAGAAAAAGAAAAAAAAACAATTAAACAACTCAATCCCAATCGATTTAGATCACTGTCCGAACCGAGACAGTAGCTTTTCCATCCTATTTCATCTGTCACGTGGCACATTACTATTGGTCAATGTTATATTTTTATTTTATAAAACTTATCTAATAAAAAAATGACTTTAACAAAAAAAAATTAAAAAAAATGTAACAAAATTCATGATTTTCAATTTCCTACAAATAGAGCCTAATATTGACATATTTTTATCGTAACAATCTTTCTCTTCATTTATTCTTATCATCTTGCAAAAGTTTCAATTTCTTTCTTTGGTCGCTTCCGAGATTCGGTCTTGGTAATTAACTACGGTTATTTATGTATTTCATATATGTAATTTTGTACTTAAATATAACATTTTATTTTTATGGATAAATTTACGTATGATAAGGTGGATGTAAAAGGAGTTGTAAATAGTGGCTCAGGACTCCCTGAGTCACGCCACACCAGGTACGGTAGTAATAAATACTACAATTGAATTATAACTCTCATATTGTAACATGTAAGCGTTTGAATAAATTTCTATCGACTTTCAACTTGGTTTTTTAAATGAAGTTTTTAAATTTTACTCGTTTGGCTCGTTGCAGATAAATATAACACTGATTTGCATTGTTTTCTATGAAAATGCATTCGTTAATAATATAAAATTATTGGAATGGCTGTAAAACGTATAACAGGGACGAAATCAACCATTTGTTTTTAATTTCTTTAGGACAAAGATTACTTAATTTATAATTTTATGTTAAATTTTCTTAATTTTATAACCATTTTCACTGATTAATGTAACCCCAAGTTTTTAGTTTGAAATAAAATAAGGAAAAAAAAGAGCAAGGGCTAAAGTTGTTAAAATTTGAACTTAAGGTCAAGGGGTTGATGGAAAGAAAGTGCAAGGATCAAAACTGTAAAAATTCGGTTTACTTTCGAATGAGCAAGAGGAGTTAAGCCTCAATTAGGGACAATTACAATCTCATTGCCATTTTCGTTTGAAGGGTTAGAGGAAGAAGCAAATACGGATGAATCAGAAAGAGTTGAAAGGAAAAAAAACGCTGCAAATTAAAGATAGAGTTGTATAACAAAGAAGCGTCATCTGTGAATTTGAGGTAAGAACGCGTATTAAAAACTCATTTTAATTCATGGGTTAGTGATCATGAGATCGTTGTGATTATAGTAAGAGAGCAGTGGATAGAAAGCAAGATAGGGGTGTGAGCAGTACGAGTTGAAAGGCTCACATATTGTTTGGAGGACAATACGTGTTTAGGGGCGACTGTCGTGATTATGGTAAGGATTTAGTTGATAGAAAGTTATCAGTCAAAGTTGGAGTTTTATACATTGTTATATTAAGTGACTGAAATCAAAAAACCGGTGCTTGAAATGTTATGTAATAATAACTTTTAAGTGTTGAATTTTGTTAGCATACATTATATAAGTGGTGTTAAATTGTGAACGGATTTTATTTCCCTTTCTCTTTGACCTAACTTCCGAAACCTTTATGATGATCCATGATTGGTCATTAACTTTTTTTTTTATTAACCTGGATATCCAACCCGCTATGCGAGCCGACTAATCTAGGGCGACCACCTGCTTTACAGATAGGCCGGAGTCACCGTATTTGAACCTCCGTGGCCACAAATGAATTTTTATTTCTTTTTGGATTATAATTTTTTAGATAAGTAATTTTTATTTCATTTGGGACGTGTTTTATATGTGAATAGTTTATATTTAGCGTCTATTCCTGAACTTCATTTTATAAAACAAAAAAATCATTGAAAAGGAAAAAAAAAACGATTGAAGACAAAGAGTAAAAACTAGATTCCCGTGCTTTTGACGTTACGTTTTTCATTCTTATGATTTACAATTTATTGTTGTTTTCGTTCTTATGGTTTATAACTTATTTCTGTTATCGTCAACGTGGTTTACAATGCTTTGCTCTTTAGTCTCTCATACTTAGATGTACGTGTTACGCTCAAAGACGAAAATAGTAATGAATTAGAAACTATAAGTTTCTTAATTTATACAACCAATACAACCATTTATTAATCAATCAGATAATTTTCTTTATTTTTCAATTTTTTTAGTAAAGGGTATTTTAGTCTTATAATTTTTCAGATAAGTAATTTTTTTGATAATTTAATTTATATTCGAATTTGTAACCGTTTTTGTTAGGTTTTAATTTTTAATTTATAATTTTATATTATAATTTATCACGAGATTTTGTAACTGATTTCATTTGATTTTTTTTTTTTTTTTTGGTTTCTTAATGTTTTAGAAATGATTCGTTTAATCATTTTTTCAGCTTTATTGAGGAAAAAGGGTACAACAATCTGAAAATTTTCAATCAGTTCATAACGCCGTTTTATGAACTTTAATAAAACTTCTGCAAACTCAACAAATACAGATAGAATTCAAGCTCAACATAAGAAAATAATATAAGAGTACTCAGGGGCCGTTTATCAAAACACTTACCGGGTAAACACTTAACGGTAAATTTCAACTCTATCTCTTACTTATCGGGTAGGATTTTAGTCGACCAAAACAATATCGTATGTAACAATTTACTTGGCAAGTCTAACCGTGGTAAGAGTCGTCGCCATCACTTACCGGGTAAGACTCTCGGTTCGTGCCTTCGCTCTTACCAGGTAAGATTTTGGTACTTGCCATATTTATCCGGTAAGGAATGTGACTTGATAAGCGCTTACCAGAGTAAGCATTTGGTAAACGGCCTTTAGGGACATATTTTAGGAGAAGCTTAAAAGCGGAAGCTAGATGAATATGTGAAAGCGTGAACTAAATGAGTCCTTGAAAGCTTGGGAAGACAAATTCTAAAAGAAGTTAACGATGCTTTCATTACTTGTACATCATGCTTTATAGTTTGTAACTCATTACATATATATATATATATATATATATATATATATATATATATATATATACGAGAACACCTCCATTTTACGAAAATGCGAGAACAGTCTAGGGCCCCAAAATTATTTAATTCATAATTAAAATTATAATAAATGAAAATAAAGCNTAAATGAGTCCTTGAAAGCTTGGGAAGACAAATTCTAAAAGAAGTTAACGATGCTTTCATTACTTGTACATCATGCTTTATAGTTTGTAACTCATCCTCTCTCTCTCTCTATATATATATATATATATATATATAGGTGGATGTTCAAACGAGAACACCTCCATTTTACGAAAATGCGAGAACAGTCTAGGGCCCCAAAATTATTTAATTCATAATTAAAATTATAATAAATGAAAATAAAGCATTAAGGATAGTAACGTAATTATTTATTTTTCATCAAATTTATGTTATTTCTATTATTTGTATTTACCCCTTAATTTTCAATCGCTGCTAATATTCGATTGTTGACATTTATCATATGTTTATCACATTTGAATAT